GGAGCGGAGCGGAGCGGAGCGAAAGAATCTGTCTAAATTGGGAAGTTACGTTATATGGGTTGGGGTTATACGGTACAGAGGTAATTTGGGAATTACATATTATACTGCAGGGCTTACTCTAGGATTATAAATAGACCTGTTTGTAATCCTAGGTCTTTGAGAGAGTTGAATTTTGTATTTTGTATTCTTTTCTGAATATTGAAAAGGAGGTCGCCGCTCTGCTCCCGAGGATGTAGGCATCTTTGCCGAACCTCGTTAAATCTCTGTGTTCTTCTGGATTTGTGTCGTTACAGTTTTTCTTCGCCCTTATTTTCTCAACAAGAGTAATACAAGGAGAGTAGAGAACGTGAAGTGATAAACTTGTCCTGAAACCCGGGAATTTTGATTCAATTCAGATTTCCCTCAATAAGTCTTTCAAAAGAAAGGCAACTTGTCATTCCACCCACTCAGAGACAAAATGCAAGACAAATATATCCGTGAAAGGGTTGGTGTTACTCTAATGGCAGGCAAGATCAGAAAGAGTCATCTTTGATGATTTGGCCGCATTACTATTTGATGATCTTGTTAGGAGAGTAGATATTTAAGATTTGACTTTTAGTCCGAAAGGTAGAGGTAGACCTAAAAAGACTCGGGCATGTTGTATAAAAAAATGATCTTAATCTATTAGAGTTAAATGAAAATATGACACTCAATTGGGCACAATTGAGAAAAATGATTCATGTAGTCGACCCCACTTATTGGGAAAAAGATTTTGTTGTTGTATCTAACAAGTACAAATCATCTAAGTTTGATTTTAGTCATGTTATGTTCAAAATATGATATACCAATGTTAATATAGTCATTCATTAACTTATCCATTTTAATTTTGGCACACCATTATCCGAACTTTATAATTTCTATCATACATAAATTAGATATCAATGACTTTATTGTAGCTCAAAATTTGGATCAAAACAACATTACTGAACAACTTACAATTTAAGAAAATTTATGTGAGAACCTCATAATATTCGTTGATCACATATAGGGGTGTGTAATTGGTTGGTTCAGTCGGATTAGCCGGCATATTTGTTAAAACAATTAAATCACAACAGATAGCAGATAAAACCAAATTCATCAAATAAAATGTAGAATTGAGCCAAACTGAACCGAAATGTGAGTGAATTACTAACTCTTTTTCATTCAACAGGGATGGAGCTATGTTGGAGATAGACTACTTTCAGCGGTGATTCCTTATGAGGAGACGGGGTGGTATGATGGACAAATGTGGGTTAAGCCACCTGAGGTAAGCACATCCTTCTACAAAGGTTTTAATTTTATTCATCCAATAAGATTTACATACATACGACTCAATTCATATGAATTTACATATGTAACAGCTAAACTTCAATTTTTACCTACATGCCACCTTACATATGTATAAAAAGAGATATTTCACTTGTTAAAAGTTAAAATTGGTGGTATTTTTTATGTAGTATGTTAGATTTGGGTGGTATAAATGTAATAAGTTCAATTTTTTTATACCTAATTACGTAGGAATTAGGTGGTATGTATGTAAATGCCCCTTCATATATATATAAGAACCCCATAAGAATTTGATAAGATCCGAGTTCGACGTCAAAATCAGCACGTTTTTCTAAAAAATTAGGGTGAACACAACATTTTTTCAATAACCAAAGAACTCAACAATAATACAAAGATAAGCCCCTACAATTTGAGAGATAAGCGATCTCTTCCAATTCTTACAGTTTGTAAACCTAAGACTCACAAGATAATCTCATGCGTAACCCTAATCCTAAACATAGCCTATTTATACCCCACACTCATAATAATAAAAGATTAAATTGCCTTTAGGAATACAAAAGATAAACTTGCCCTTAGAAATTGATCACTCCCAAATAATTTTTTTTTTTAAAAATGATTTTAAAATTCTTTATTGCAGGTTCTTGCTCGAGACAGGTTATTGGGTTCTTATAAGGTATGTTACAATATACGTAAATTTTTTTTAAGAAATTGATCATTTTAAATACAGTGAGGCTCGTTGTTTGCAAGCAGCTCGTGTTCGGTTTGATAAGTTGCTCTTGTTCGATTCATTCGCTAAGCAAACGAGCCGAACATGAACAATTTTTTTTGCGCTTGATATATAAATGAGCTTAACACAAACAAAATTTTGTTCGCTCATGTTCGGCCCATTTTAGCTTGATATATAAACGAGCCGAACACAAACTATGATTTTTTTTAACGAGCCGAACACAAACAACACCCCTAAAACTAGTTTACGAGATTTTTCTCTATTTCTTTTTTTTTTACAGTGTAAGAATTAAACCATATCATATCAGAAAGAACTGCATATAAAATTTTCAAATTAATAAAGTCGATGAAGTGTTTTTCTAACATTTTAATGCTAAAATTTCAGGATCTTGGCATGTGGCATTCATCCATCCCATCCAAGTTCATAAATTATCCTCTCTAATGATTCACCAAAAAAAAAAAATTTAAGAAATTTAAAATTTGTAATCATACTATAACATTCTATATAAAAAATAAAATTAAAGGGGGATTTACCTACATGCCACACAATTCTTATACATTTACATACCTAACAGCTAAACATTGATATTTGCATTAATATCACCATCATTATCTTTTTAAAAGTGAAATATACTTTTTCATGCACTCGTTTATAACACCAAGGTGCTATAAGCTTAAATATCGAACTTTGGGTGTTAGAAACATAAATACAGTAGACTGGTGTGGTATGTAAGTCAATTTCCAAATTTAAAACGTGAAGATTTTTTGGCCAAAAAATCCCATTTTAATATTTGATCAAAGACAATAAATTTATGCTTAAATGATTTTATTAGGAGTTCTAAATCAGCTTTGAATTTCATGTATGCCAAACATCAGGTGAAGCCAGTGATCAAGTTGCTGAAGCAAACATTAGTGGTCACAGGAGCTTCGCTGGTCGCTGCAGTATCATTATTCATCTTTGCTTCCCCCGTAGAGAACTTCGTGCATTCCGTATTCCAATCGAAAGAAACTTATTCAAATCCCCCAATTTCTAAAGTTAAAACAAGTCTAAGGTAAGAAATACTATTTTTTTATTGAGAAAGTGTCAAAATAGTCTTCCGTACTCTTTTGCAGGAGTCATTTTAGTCCCAGATACTATAAAAATATCAATTTAGTGCCTGGCTCTTTGAATATAGAATGAAGAAGTCCACACGTCGAACTATTTCAGCTATAATTTAAGCAGTTAGACTTATTAGTCGCATTTACACATGTACCACTCAATTCCTATGCTATATATTTACATATCTAGCTCCCAAACTTTAATTTTTATATTTATACCACTCAATTCTTTAATATCACATCAAATATACCATTATTTTTAAGTTTTAAAAGTAAAATACAACTTTTCATGCATGGGTAAGGTGGCATGTATGTAAAAAATTAAAGTTTAGGTGTTAGTTTTGTAAATATATAGGAATTGAGTGGTATGTATTTGAATCTTCCTTATTATTACTCATGTGTGATTGAGTCTACAACTAATAATACATCATGTTTATAGCAAGAATGAACTGCTTAGACTACCAGCGGATGTAATTAGAGACGATGAGCTCGCAGCCGCAGCAGCCGAGGCTGCTGATGGAAGGCCAGTTTACTGTAGAGACCGGTTTTATCGTGCGCTCGCCGGAGGACAGTACTGTAAGTGGGATGATCTACTAAACTAGTTGTTTGATATTTCTCTTAGTTAAATCTGTGAAGAAGAAGATGATGTATTCTCCAAGAGCTAAATACAAGCCATGGAAGCTGACTTCTGCTGCTTGAGAAGAGCGCTTTGTTCAAAGTTGGAAGATTAGCAGAAAGTCTCATTTGTTACAGTAAGCAGTTTCTTGTTTGTGAATAATCTGTTAAATTTTATCAGATGGTTTATGTGATACTTATGATGAGAAGATGATGATGCTCGAAATTTTTTTAAAAAATTGGTCATTTACATACATACATACATACATACATACATATAGATAGATATATATATATATATATAGATAGATATATATATATATATATATGATCAATTCGTATATATTAGCATATCTAACACCTAAACTTCACTTTTTATATTTATACCGCCTAAATCTTTGATATCACAGAAAAAATACCATCATTCTAAGTTTAAAATGTAAAATACACATTTTTCATGCATGGTTAAGGTGGCATGCATGTAAAAGTTGAAGTTTAGGTGTTAGATATGTAAATATATAACTTTTGTGTGGTATGTATGTAAATCTTCCAAAAAAAAAAAAAGTTATTCATGTGAGCATGTGGAGTGAGCTCTCAAAGCTAGCAATGTATAACTAGCAGATTAAGTAAATTATCAGTAAGAGAAGAACTAAGTGTTGTAAATATGTAGGCTAAGATTCATGATGCTGAGCCTGCGGATTCATGCACAGAAAAGCGTTTCGTTTGTCACGAGTTCTCTTTGGGATATGCTGTTGCTAATATGTGCCGGTCAATTCTCTATTGATTTACATATCTAACACCTATAGTTCAATTTTTACATTTTTATACCGCCTTGTCTATGCATGAAAAGATATATTTTACCTTTTAAAGGTTAAAATAGTGATATTTTTTATGCATTGTGAAAAAATTAGGTGGTATAAATATAAAAAATAAAGTTTTAAATATAAGATACGTAAATGCATAGGAATTGGGTGGTTCCGTGTAAACTTCTCATTTATAATCCATCTTTTCATGCATGGGTTAGGATGCTTATGGCGTCAAAATTAAAGTTTGGGTGAGAGATAAGTAAATGTTTATGAATTGGGTGCTATTTATGTAAATTCATTTTTATAATATTTATGTGAAGATGTTTTGATTCATGTCTAGGAATTGGGCTCGCTGGTCTTGATTGTTACATTATAAGTTATATTTTCTGAGCTTTTTATTTCAATTCTATGGAGATGAAATGTAATTTCCAATTCTTTAAATTAATATATGAATTGGCGCCTAATGTTGCTTGCATATCTTTGACCTAAGTGATTAAAGAAGACTAACGAAAAATTCATTAGAGAGAAGAGAGATAGAAAGTCTTTCTTGTAATAGTTGATATGGTCGAAGGTGTGTAATTCTCAAGTTAATAAAATCCTGTACAGTTCTGTGGACATAGTCAATTTGCCGAACCATATAAATCTGTGTGTTCCGCTGTATTTTTGGTTTTGTGAATTTTTCTCGATCTAGTTTTTTCACTTCATTGCTGTTGTTTTTCACAACAACTAGTATCAGAGTTTTGGTTCAGATCTAAGGAAGAACAATGGACGGAGAGAAAGGGATAACATCGGGGAATGACAGAAATTTTAGTTACTAGAGGATGCAGAAAGAGGAGTACCTCTATGGGAAGAAACTTCACCTACCGTTGTTGGGAAATAAGTTGGAAAAAATGGACGAGACGGAATGGAAGTTATTAGATCGACATGTTCTGAGGGTTATTCGATTGACCCTGTCGAGATCTGTTGCCCACAACGTCATTAAGGAGATGACTACTGCAGATCTCATAATGGTTTTATCAGGTATATATGAAAAGTCATCGGCGAATAACAATGTGCACTTGATGAAAAACTTATTCAATTGAAGATACGGAAGTTGTGTCTGTTAATCAACACCTGAATGATTTCAATACTATCACAAATCAATTGTCGTCTCGTGAAATTGATTTTGACGATGAGACACGTGAGCTGATATTATTGGCTTCATTGTTAAATAGCTGTGAAATCATGAGTATGACAGTTAGTAATTCTGCAGGTAAATTCAAATTAAAATATAATGATATTCCTGATTTGATTTTGGCTTAGGAGGTGAGCAGGAAAAATTCCAGCGATGCCTCGAGTTTGAGTTCGACATTGATTGTTGATTCCAAAGGGAGATCGCAGGACAGACTCAAACATAGGAAGATCAAAATCAAAGTCTGGATAGCAAGCAACCTGTTGGAATTGTGGCAAGGATGGTCACATAAAAAAGAACTGTAGGAATCCTAAGAAGAAGGAGAAGGATAGCGCAATGTGGTAACTAAAAAAATATAGGATGCACTATTGTTGATAGTTCACAGTTCTGTTGATAACTGGATACTGAATTCAGGGGCTTCCTTCTATACATTTTCCCACCGTGAGTTGATGCCAAATTATATTGCATGCGACTTTGGGAAGGTACATATGGCTGATGGAAAAGCTTTGGACATGGTGGGGATGGGAGATGTTGATATTGCACACCCTAAGAAGAGCAAATGGACTTTGCAAAAAGTCACGCACGTTCCCGAGTTGAAGAAAAACCTCATCTCTGTTGGGCAGCTCAATGAGGGTGGTCATTCGGTAGTGTTCTCAGAAAGCACCTAAAAGGTTACCAAAGGAGCATTAGTATTGGCTTGGGGTAAGAAAACTGACACACTATATATGACTATTAGTTTACTCAATATTGTTGCTACTACATTTGCAGAGAGCGTGACAGATCTGCGACATTAGAGGTTTTGTCACATGAGTCAAAGCTATAAAGAAATCTTGCAATATAAGAATTCGAGCAAGTGAGAGCTGGTCAAGAAGAAGGAGACAGAGTCCCTGTCAGGGAATCAGACTTGAGAACTGACAGAACTTCCACCACATAAGAAGACATTGCACAACAAGTGGGTATATTGGGTGAAGACTACGCTTGATGGCAGTAAGAGGTATATAGCTGAACTTGTTGAAAATGACTTTCAACTGAGTCAGAATATTGCCCATGCAGTGGGAGTTGTTGATAGATACCAGAGTAACCTAGAAAAAAACTTTGAGTTATAAGTCTATGTTGATGTTTATATGTCGACTGAGGGTGTTACTCTTGAGAAACTGAAGTTGTGTTCGACTTCAGCTGGTTTTCTGACATGAAGACCGGAGCTTTGAGTTGCAGAAGTGGAGGATATTACGTTTGAGAAAAAGTATGATGCCGCCAGTAGGAGATGCAGCCAGTGAGTGATACAGCTAGTGTCTCAGTCTTCATGTGGGAAATTTGTTGAGGAAGTTGGAGCCCGGTCCACTATTCTCATGATTCAATTTCGTGCATCTTAGGAAACTATTTAAATAGTTGTTTTTAAAATGTTTCCTTCTATGTGCCTGCTACTTGACTGAATTGCATTTACCGCCCTCCCGCCTCGTTGATTAATTTTTTAAATGAAAGCAGACGAGGAATTTTGTTGGGCTTCCTTTTTATGCCTTGATTATTTTCGTAATGAGTGTAATTAAACAAAGGAAAATGCATGTTACAGTTATCTGTATGGAAGGCTTAGGCTCCCTAGTTTGGAAGGCTTCTGCTTGGCTTGCAAATAAAAGGCGGAGAAGAGTTGCGGCTGTAGGATGTATCGCACGACACTTGCTCTCCCTCTCTTCTTCGTGTATTTGTATTACGGCAGTAAGAATCGGGAAGTGTCGTACTCGATTTTCTTTTCCTCGGTGTGAATCTCGGCAGAGAGAGAGAGAAAGAGGAGAAGAGAGGTAGAGAGAGAAACTTTCTTGTAATAGTCGATATGGTCGACGTTATGTGATCCTCAAGCTAATAAAATTTTCTGCAGCTCAGTGGACGTAGGCAATTTGCCGAACCACCTAAATCTATGCATTCCGCTGTATTTCTGATTTTGCGAATTTTTCTCGATCCAATTTTTCACTTTATTGTCGTTGTTTTTCACAACAAATTTACGAAAAAGTTAAACCTTCGGACCAAAGTTGACTTCAAACATAATCTTGCTAGATTCATGAAGCCTAAGGCTGAGCATTCAGTCGGTTCAGATGGATCAACTTTAAAATCAGAGCAAATCGATTACGATCGAAATTCAAAATCCAAAAAATCAAACTAATCTAAATTTTGATAAATTGAACCCAACCAACCGAAATTTAATTTGATTTAAACGGTAATGTTTTTAACAAATCGAAATTTAATTATTTATTGAAATTTGATTAAAAATAAGTATTAAGAATTACATGTCTTATCTACATATAATCAATTTAATTTCACAAAGTCTCTGTTTATTTTAATCAAAGATTGCATATAATAAATAATTTGATTTTTTTTTTTAGTTTATTCGACATGAAATTGAATATAATAAAAAATTTTAATAAATTTTTTATTTCCAATTAAAATCGAATATTAAAGTCTTAAGGATGGAAATTCAATTTTGAAACTGTACCGAACCAACTAAATTTGAACGGGTCAGTTTGGTTTTTCAGCTTTAGTCGCATAATGCACACCCCTAATGTTGAGCTACATGCCTATAATCTAAATGTGTCTAGATGTAGCATAGGACGGCTCCGCTAAATCACTAGATCAAGTGAGCCGACTAAGAGGATTCATTAGCTAATCTTATACGGTGATTCCCAATTGTCAATTTCCCATAATAATTTAAACTACTTTTCCACAATCATTAATAACGTCTCTAAATATGTGGTCGATCAACTCTTGTTCCCCAAATCATGAATGCTTTTGTGGGGGGGGGGTTTGAGGCTTGTGGTCAAACCTGGGACCAATCAAAGTACTAACTCTATCAATGCTATGAAAATATCAAAATGATATTTTGATTAATTGTATGGGGGCAATTTAGTCTTTTTATTTTAAATGTATTTGACTTGCTATGTTAAACATGATCTAAAATAATCCTAATTTCATCATATTTTATGACTTATTTTGATTTTTACTTTTGTTTTTCTAATGTATAGCTCGTGGGTCCCACAAGTTTTCATGGTTTTCTCTCTTTGTGGGCCCCGAGGGGATGTGAACCGGCAGCCCCACCCATTGCGGGCTTTCCCGTATTTTGCATTAAAAGTGGGGAGCGGTCAAAGTGTAGAAAGCTGAGGACTTACTTTCTCCTCTAAAATGATGAAAAGAAAAAAGAGTGAGTTTTGAAGAACTGATAAATTTTATATGAGATTTGAAATAGCTGCATCAGGTTCATTGGGATGTTTAGGTGTTCGAATAATGGTCTAGTACCGTTAGTATGTATGTACACTCTAATAATGATCATGTATCATAGAGAGAAAATGAAAAGAGAGATGAGTGTGAGCGTCGAGAGGAAATCTCCGAGACTATAATGAGTTGTTGTCTTCGAGGTACAGTAAGTTACAAGGATTCTGTAAGAGAGAGAGTGAAATAGTTAAAGATCATGTTAGGGAAAGATCCTTTCATCTACTCTTGATTTTCCTTTTACTCACAAGAGAGAAAGAGTAATAAAATAATAAATTATACACATTTCGTATTGTGCGGTAATTTTTCCAGGTGTATTGATGAAAAAATTGTGATATGGGTGTCACGCGGTGTCGGTACTAATAGGGTTGAGCTTTTAATGATGGATTGACGCATGAACTTATCAGTCATGATAGTTTTATCTCATAGCTGCCCCGCACAAGTGGTCTAGATCATCCTTGCATGAGGAATGGATACAAACTTTTCGGCAAGCGGGCGCTATTTGGGAAAACAAGTAAAAAAAAAGTTTGTTGTACGACCGTATTTGTGTATACATTTTGGTTATGCTCTAGGAGTAATGATACAATTTTTAACTTATATCAATGAAAAAAAGTATGGGCATTTACATACACAGACTAATTCCCGTCCATTTTCATATTTAACTCCTAATTTTACATTTTTTACATTTATGTCAGCCAAACCTTTCATATCACATAAAAATATCGATGTTTTAACTTTTGAAAAGTGAAATACACATGTTTCATGCATTAATAAGGTGGTATAAATTTAGTCATCTTAATAGTTTCCGTTGTGTGGAGACTATGGCTTCAAACAATATATATTTTGTTTTTGGCGGTCAAGATTAAAAATTGTTTGATTGTTTCAGAGATAACGACTTGCATATCCTGAAGACAATATTATAATTACAGTAGTTTTTTTTCAAAATTATGAAAAAAATATTATATATTTTTTTAACTAAATGCGCTAAAATGATTTATTTATAAAATAAGAGCGAAATGGGGTATTATATAATAATATAATAATCAAGAAATGGCAAAAAGCCAAATTATTGAACTCATTCAATACTCTTATTCATATAAATGTTGACTAGAAAAGGATAAATTCATTCATGCAAATTAATAAAAATTATAATGGTTCAAAAAAGAGATGAGTTAAAAGTGTCAATGAAAAAGTTGGTGGTAATGATAAGAGGAGTGAAAAAAGGGCATAACTTGCTTGATATAAAGCTCGGCGAAGCAATAAAGCTCTTGCTTGAATGATTTATTTACTACCTTAAGGAGGTGTTCGATGGCACGTTTGAATGGGATTTAGCACCATATTTATAAAATCCAACCAAACAAAAAATAGTGGCGTTCTGTGAATTTTTGAAATTTTAAATTTGACGTCTGAAATTTTGCCTTCGATTCGACTTAAATCTTGATTTAGTAAATCCATGGGGTGATGGGCTTACAATTTAAAGATTTACTAAATCCTACTTACAGCCAGCCAAATGCCCTTTATAATTCTTTACTTTATTTTCAACCAATATGCTGCCCTTCTTTTTCTTTCTCAATATTAATCAGAGGCTATGATACGAGCCCCAAACCAACCTCATGTGTATAAGCACTCGACTAATCCACAAACCAATGGAACCAAATACCCTACCCCGAGGGGCTTATAACTGATTTAGTAGATGTCAACCGAAGAGTCGGGGAATGTGATATGTTATTTATTCAATATGCTACTTGTTCGAGCATAAAATAAAGCGAATACATATCTCTAAGAGGGAAAGTTTGGAAAGTTAATCTAATCAAAATATAATTATTATTAATTTTAAAATTATATACACATATGTATACTTCAATAAATTTAATAATTTTATGATTCATATTTAATTTCAGAACTAGAGGACTTTTCAATTCAACATTGTATGAGCTTAGTTGATCTTTCACCTAATTTTTATGTATATATTAAATTTTAATATTTACTTATATAATACATAAATCATTTAAAACATATAAAAACACTATTAATTAATATTTATTTTTTTGAAAGTGAAACATAGATTTCCGTGCATATTTTTTATTTTATTATGAAATCAAAATATTAACATAAACAATTATTAAAATTTAAATGTTATATATATATATATATATATAT